TGATCATCAGGATGGTCGATATGTCTCTGAAAATAAATGTTACTCGAAAACCCTTGTTACGCTACTGTGGAAAGTGCTTCACGAATTCAGATAGACTAGTTGTCTACAACACATAAGAGCAAATCCTAAGCTGAAGCAGCAAGGGGCGAGAACGAGGCAAAACAGTGTTTTCAATGGCATCACAATAATCTTCGGATTGGACTTTCTACTCACCGGGTGGGCAGGCCACAGGTGCGGACGAATATCACTGGCTTCAGTAGAAAGGGTGCAGAATTGAAGCCGAAGGGTTTTGATACCAGGGCACGTCATTAGCTGGGGATTTTAGTTGAGTCCGTACGACTCCCGCTCTGAAACGTGGCTTGATACAACGCCCTCCCCTAGTTCCGATACGAGAGCGTCGAGCGGGAGAAAGGGGCGGGGATTTACATAGCAAAAACCGGGGAAAGCCAAGAACTGGGAAAAAATTTTCCCAACGCCGCAAATATCTCTCAGAAGGCAGATACCTCCTCCCCAGCGACCAAATACGACCCCCCTCCCTGTTGGGGAATCTCCAACGATAACGTGCCTAGTGATAGGACGATACTTTTCATGTTTCCACCAGTCCACCCATATAGAAGCAGACGGGGTCGCACGGTCAGCCCATAAGCCGAATAATAGCCACACGCGCTGTTTGCTTACACCCTCTCAATTTTGGCTGAAACAACTTTATTATCTACAGGTCGACTTCAGCAGCATATCAACATCTTCGCTATAGGATCTTAGTCTTCCATTCCCCACAGAACAAGTTGGCAACATGCCCATAGTGTATGACGCGCACACTACACAGTATCGAATATCGAGAAGATGTATGAAGAAGATCTAGCAATAACAGTACTTCAGCTTCATCACCGCGTACATCGGAATGGTAAAAGTGTCACACTTTCACGGCTCCAAACCTGCTCACGTCTTATATGGAATTGATTCCCCCCCCCCCCCGGTATTGGTGGAGTACCTACCTCCCCTAAACCCGCGCCGGATTGGAAATACCTGAGAGTGAGCTCATCTTGAAAATGGCTTTACTCTTTACATATCAAACATAAATCTAAACATGCAGCCTCACCTCCCGATGGTCTGTTGCTGCACTCTGATCCTTCCAGTTTTTGGATCACGATCGACTCGTGTTCTAGTGGAACCATGACGAAGTTCATAGTTCGTTCCCGGGACTTTGCCAGCTTTGAACTGAAACCAGCCAATGAGATAATGACAGCAAAACGGCAAAACATGACTTACGTCGTATCCCAAAATGTTATCCCAAGCCTTGCGAAGAGGAGAGCGTTTCTCTGGCCCAGAAACCTTGGTCGTGTAAACAATACGACTCGATTCTTGGCCATCATAATCATCATCGTCATCGTCATCACCGGTAGTATGGCCGAGATCAAGGAGACCGCGCGTTCCTGAAGATTACTGGATAAGGTTCCTATCGATAAACACGTTGACGACCGTGGGCCTTTTCGCTTTTTCGGCCGCGTGAGAACGCGCCGAGCGCGAGGCGTGCTGCGTACGAGTTAAGCGTCCTACGAGGAGCATTTTTGGGAATCGAATCAGAAACATGATCTCAAGAGCTGCAAGAGTGAAAGTTTGTCTACATAAAAGAAAGATTCAGGAAAGGCCTCCAAGAAACGGTCTTTTTTGGCACTGTTTACCCCTTTCTAAAGTTTCAGTGAAAACAAGGGCACCATTCACTGTTTATTACCCAAATTTTCCACGTTTAGGCCAGTTTTCCACCGAATTTCACTCAGAAACCAGGATTTTTTTTTCGATTGATCAACTTGTTCCCAGGATTAGTGATTCTCATAGAACCTGTGGTCCATAGGAAACTTTGCTGAATTCTAAGAAACTGAAGTTCCAGCATACTTTTTCTGCTCCCTCAGGGAAACATATCAGGGGTCATAAATAAATAAATAGAACTGATATACTAAGAACTTTAGTATGGTGTCTAGTGTATATCAGCCAGTTTAATTTCACTTCGTCTATCAACAGTACCATCCTGAATTAACTCACTATGATTTTCAACAGTGGACTGACCAATAAATATGATCTGATAGGCGCGATTCACATAGGACTACCGCGGTCCCTTGTGACCTACTGGCGATGCGCATGTGAATCACACGGTTGTCAACGTGTCAAAGAAATAAGAATAACGAAAATCGCTAAATTAGAAAGCTTTGCAAGAAAAAGGGTAAAATCATGACCACATGTACCAACCGAGAGGAGCTGTTGTTCCATAAACACTTCTGCTGCTTCTGTCGAAAAGTCCACTGCGTTCAGCTGAAGAGTCTCCTGACACAGAATAAGAAGCTGTTGTTGTTACTCGCGTCGATGGACGTGGAGGAGTTCTAAATCAAGCTCATCAAGGGGAGGAAGCTCTCTTTATAACGAAGCTAGTAACAGAAATACATTCGAAGAGGTCATTCGAACCAAACAGTCAGATAAGCAGGATTTCTACATGTTTATGCTAGCTTTAATAACTTAGAGACTATGCGACATATTGATTAGCGAGTGCACTTCAAAGATTTAAGAACTTATAGAGAACGAATCGAATAAAAACACTCACTTAGGAAAAGCAGCTTTCCGTGGAGGAGTCGCACCCGGACGATCAGTGCTATATAACCCTGGTATAATTTGTGAGGAAGTTGTATAATTACGCCTAAATTAAGGTTATGTTAACACATCAAATCAGACATATAGAAAGAACCAGAGCTCCTGAGCAATAACTGATTAACACTTACCTGTCACTTAACTTCGGTAATGACTTTGGTGGACTCGGAGGTGCAGGTGGAGCAATCGGACGAGGCTCCTCCGGTGTCGAAGTGACGGGCTTGCCACGAAAACTGGTGATATAGGGCTCCTCGTCTGATCCATCTGTAAAAATTAAATATCTTATTAGAGAAAAAGTGAGAGACGGTAGTCATCAAATCCGAACATTGTTTTTTGTTACTTGAAGCTACAATGGAATAACTTGAATATATTTTTACAAGTATTCTTGGAAGGAATGCCATTCCCAAAAATTCGATAATCTCACAAAACTAGCAGGTCATAGAAAGCGGCTATCTCATGACCCGTGCTCCGGGACTCTGCATCACTTCATAACTTTTATGATACCATTACTTAAACTTACTCAGTCGGGACCATCTGGTTTCCTCTAAGAAAAACGTTTTTTCTGCAATTTCCGAACAGTCCCGTATCACTTTTCGTTAATAGCCCCCCTCACAGCCTTGTGAGAGAATTCTGTATAGATAATCAGCGGGGAAGTCGGTGTTGGAACTTTCGGTTTTGTCTCCATCTACTTAGGTATTAGGTTGTCCAAAAAGTTTCAAGAAAATATTCACTTTCAGTTTAAAGTACAATGCGAAAGCTTCAAAAAGAAAGGTGATTAATATGAAGTGCTGTAAGAGAGCCGAAATCTTGTAGATCAATACTAATGTTGGCGTTATACTATTCTCCATTGCTGGTACGATTTGACATTACCTGAAAGATGTACGAGCGCGCACGACCCCCAGCGCCTTTTACTTCATCTTCACCGTTTTGGCTCCGCTATCGGTCCGGATAAAATGCGCTTCAAAATCATCTATACTAGGAGATCAATCGGTCTCTTCCATGGAAGTTTAGCTTAGATGTTGCGTACGCCCCTCATTCTCAGTACTCGCTTAGTTCTAGCTCCCACGGAAGGTAATCCCGCTCTTCGCAGTTCACTGCAAATGTGCCACTCTCATGTGTCTCGTGACGGAATGATGAACTTTTGCAGCAAAGACCACCTATTTGGTGGACATCTCACTCACTACGGGTGTCCATTTCTCCCGCAAGCCGTTGCTGACCATCACTCATATTCCCTACTCCCTGGGCTACTAATGCGCTTTGAGGATTTTTGGGGCAGTTCGGCAACGTTGGGAGAGGGGGCATTTTGCACTTTTGCTACTTCCCATCGACGTGTCGACCCATCTAGACAGCCTTTTCTCGAGTTGACAGGTTTTACCATGTTGGCTCGACGAGCTTGCTCCAGCTTCACAAAAGTACAGGTTTCACCGAAGTGAGACTTGCTCGTGAAGCATCGAAAGTGCAAAGTGCCCCACCCCATCGTCGAACTTTTACCCTCCGAGCGTTCTCTTCGGCGCTCACACGCCTACTGGCAACGAAATGCTGTACAAGTGGAAAGAAATGCCTAAGGGAAAAAATGCTATTTCCTTTAACGTTGGAACACAAAATGAAATTCGCCACTTATCGTTCGGTGGTCGTCGAGATAACACGCTCAACCCACCCTTCCCCCCCCCCCCAACAAGCCGGGTGCCAGAACACTTTGAAAACACTAGCTGATGGGAAATCGAACCTAAAGAGTTTTTGAAAAATATAATTTCCACACTTCTACGAGCAATTTTCAACATTAAGACCAACTGAGGTTCCGTCCGTACTAAGCCTTAATCATTTCCACGAGTATCGTTTGCTCTGAGTAAAGAAAACTTGCTTAAACACACATTGCGCTAGCCCGTCAATCTTCATGCAAACACCTCAATTAGCGTCCCGATCATCCAAACAAAAATGAACAAGGATACGGATTAGATGGAAATACGTTGACAGAATTTCTTGTAGAAAACACGATTACAAAGAATGAGACGCGAACTGCAGAAGCTGTACAAGTGTGATCATTCTCTCAGTGAAAGAACAGAACAGAAAGTGCCAATGGCGCTCTCTGTAGCCAGCGCTCTCCTTATATAGGCAAAACAATAACCAAAAGAGAAGCAAGTCCTTGAGAGGGATTTGTAGCGTTTAAACGTAATCATTAACTTACGCATCAGGCGGCGTCCAGACCTTGCATCAGCGTTCGAGCGTACTCTAGCAACTAAGAAAGGAGAGGTATCGATCTTGTGTATGCCAGTGCACGCTACTCCAAACTTTCTTAGTCGCTAGGGATGGCACAGGCTCAAATTTCCGCCGTACGCTGGAGCAAAGTATGAACGCAGTCGTACATAGAAACAGTATCTCTCTATATGTAAACCAGAAGTTGTTTGTTTGTCTGTGCGTCTGTCTGACCGCCTGAAATTGGGGTTTCGTGGAAATTCACTTCAAGGGAACTGATTGTGCTTGGGATAAACGCGGCATGGGCCAGCATTTGCAGAGCACACACAACCTCACCTAAGCTCCGCCCACAATGGGCGGGGCTTTCGCCAAAGTGGACAAAGCCGAGGATAAAAATCCTCAAAACGCATCCGGAGCAGACCGAGAAACGGGGAATATGAGTGAAACTGAGCAGCGGGTAGGTAGATGAATTGAGAGGGAGACACCCGTAAGCAGTGCATGGTGTATCAAACGGGGCCCCCAGCGATGGTTATTTCTGCAAATCCTCAACACTAAGGTTTCCTATAGGAAATTTCGACGACTGTCTCCTAGGCGGGGGGAGGGGGTATAACTACGAATGAAACGGTAAAGTTCGGTAATTTTCGAAAAATATAATTTTGACAAAAACTGGACACGAGAAACTCTGAGGCAATACCCACTTCACACGCGGAAGGCGGGCGATCCGACTGGCCTCAGTAGGAATGCCAGGGACCCACTTCACACGCGGAAGGAGGATCGTCCGCCGAAGGCGGGCGATCCGACTGGTTTAAGTAAAAGTATCGGATTCGATGAAAACTCTGAGAAGAATAGCTTACACTTCGCGGGAACGTTTTGAGCCTCTGTTAGCGTTTTGGACGTTCTGAGCGCCCAAGTAAGTATAGGACTCTATCCAGCGCTTAAAGCGTCCACAAGCATTCAGAGCGTTTTGCGCGCCTTCTGTGACAATCCATGCCTATACTTTCTCAGTCGCTCAGAACAAGGCGAAGGCCCAATACGCTGGCCAACGCTCAAAACAATGGATTGATAATTGTAGTTCCCATGCGCTCAGAAACCTCAAAACGCTGACAGAAGTTCAAAATGTCCCCGAGTGTAAACGCACTCTGACCTAGGACGAAACGACCTTACCGAACAAAAATCTACCTTCGCTTTCAGATGTAGCGGTCTTTCGACGAACACTTTGTGAAGCGGTTCTTATCGTCGATGCTGTTCGAGTAGGAGACTTTGAAGACGACGATACCCGTTTTGTAGGTGTTGTAGCCTAAAAGACTCGAGTAAATAGAATTCGAGCAGTGTCAGTAAACCAGTCTTGGAAGGAAAAATGGCCTTACATTGGGCTTCTGCGTAGAATTGTTTATAGCAGTAGGTGGGCCTTGCTTCCACAGTTTAGTGAGCTTCTTCTCGTAAAGTGAACGTGTTGTGCCGGTGACTGGACCAACAGTGACGTTGTACTTACGGAGCTCACCAGCAAGTTCGGCATCCGACAATAGAGCTGCGTCTTTCATCTGGAAAAAACGACAGTGGTAGAAGAACTAAGAAAATGCAAATATCGAGAACGTCTAACCGCAGCAAGACGATGATGCATGACGTAAAGTAATAACAAAATACGGGAGAAAAGTGTTCACTAACAAAACACCTTAAATGAAAGACTTCAGCATTTTTAGTTATCAGCTCTTTTTCCTTGCGGATGAAAGGG